CGCCTGCATGGGTTGGGAGGCCTGCACGCGCACGGTACTAGTGCGCGATCTTGGCACGCGATGGGCTTGCATGCATCATGGGCCTGGGTGTGCGACCCACCCATTTTACGCATCTGCTTGGGCGGACACTCTCCTGGGCTGTTAGGCTTCCTGGTTGGCCTTGTTGCTTGCCCCATGTGCGCAAGGCCTCCTGTTTGGGTCGTGGGCTCTCGTGGACGTGGGCCTCGTAGGCGCAATCCTGTGTGTGCAGGTTGGGCTCCTCGCACACATGCACTTGGGGCGCCTGCATGTGTGGCATATCTGCCTTGTGCATGCGCAGGCTTGTTAATGCGCATATGGGCTCCTTCCGCAATGGTCTTCTCAGTTTAACACGCAGGACTACTTGCTTGTGCTTGGTCTTCGGGCCTAGCCTTGGGTGGCCGAACGGCCATGGGCTTGGACCTTCTTCCTGGGCCTCTTGGATGATCCCAAAAGCCCATGCTTCATCTCCTTCCTCGGCTCCTTGGGCTGATTGGTTTAGAGGCCCATATGGTCGACCCTGCTTGATGGCGTCAAGGATCCAACTCATGCGGTCCAAGCTCTTTCAGACCGGATTTTTATGTCTAGATGGACCAAACTTTATCTCTCAGGCTTCGGCTTTGTCTTCTTGGTTGGGGTTTTCTTTGGATTTTGACTTTACGTTTGCGCGTACCTTGGGCTTCTTTTCCCGGATAAATTTCAAGCTTTTTCGTTATCACGTCATCGCTCTCTTCTTCAAAACGATTCGTCGTCGAATTCGTCTCGTTGTCGGTCATCGAATTTGGATACAACAAGGAAGCTAAAATGTAGTGGAAGGAGTTAGGTTGACATCGTGGCCTAGTAGAACACATCCTCAAGTGGAACTGAGCTAACGTGTCTATTGCAAGAACCATCTTGCCTCATTAACACTTGTGTTTGTCACTCAACACTCAAACTTCCATTGCCAAGCTGAGCCCATAAGTTCGAAGAAGGGAGGAATGGCGTGATAACGAAAAGGCTTGAAATTTATCCGGAGAACGAAGCCCAAGGTACGCGCAAACATATAGTCAAAAACCGAAAGAAACCCCAACCAAGAAGACAAAACCAAAGTCGAGAGATAAAACTTATATAAAGGTCTTTGTCTATAGGTTGTAAATACACATTGAAAAGGATAAATTTGAAGTTTTTACTTTCTTCAAGAATTAGTTTTGCTAATTTCTTTTAGCGTTTTCTAGTTCTTCAATATTAGGGAGCTTTCTGAAGTTTTGTTGAGTCGAGGAATTAGGATTCTCTTATCGCGTAAGTCCGTAACGTCTTTATTTTTCTCGTTTTTATTTCTCTTTTCTTTATCTATACATGCCATTTAGGTGAGTGTGTTCTCAATTGGGAGAGGGGGAGAGGTTAATTAGGCAGTTTACTCTCTATATTGCTTGCATTGTAAAAGTTACAGGAGTTGATTCGATCCTCTCCATAGTGACTAAGCAAGTCCTGGCATTCTCAAGGAGCTTGAAATCTATCCGGAAAATGAAGCTCAACGTACGCACAAACGTAAAGTCAAAATCCGAAAGAAACCCCAACCAAGAAGACAAAGTCGAAGCTGAGAGATAAAGCTTGAAATGCTTCAAATTCGTTAACCTTATCGGGCTTATCCCCACATGTCTGCGTACTATGCTTCCGATAAGGAGAGACCTATTCCCACCTTTTCCTACGCTACAGCTTAGCCTGGAGAATATGGATAAAACTGATGAATTTATCTGGACTAAACTGGTTGATGCCTCTTCCACTGTAGATTTTCATGTGCTCCAGTATCTGAGTATACTGTTGGGTGCTAAATATAACGATGTGAGGACTTGGGAGCTTGTTGTTGCCAGATCTGAGAAAAGACTTGCAGGGTGGAAGAAAAACTTACTTTCCAAAAGCGGTTGTCTAATCCTTATCAGAAGCACATTGGTCAGTCTTTCTATATATTAGATGTCTCTTCTATCAAGTCCAAAGAATGTAATTAAAAAACCAATACAAAGCAGATTTCTATGGGGTGATTAGCGAGAGAAGAGGAGATATTATTTGGTGGTCAGGGACAAAGTTAAAAGACTACTGAATCAGAGAGGGTTAGGAGTGAGATAAATTTATAAGATGAACCAGAGACTGCAGGGAAAGTGGTTTGTACAATTTTTGAAGGAAGGAGGCATTTTATGGAGGAGATTTTTGGAGGCAAAGTAAGACGCTATGGATAGAAAGAGAGATCCCTGGCCACAAACGAGATCGTAAGGGATAGAGTTATGGAAGAGTATTTGTATTGGGATGGAGAAATTTCAAGACTGCTTCAAGTAGAGAGTGGGAGATGGGCAAAGATTACACTTCTGGTTTGACATTTGGATCGATGGTGAAGCCTTGAGAGTGAGGTTATCACAAGTTTTTGCTATAGCACGTGATAAAGATAGTTCCATAGAAAAGGTGTTCAATGAGGGGAGGGCAGGAGGAAATGTCATGTGGATATGATGTGTAATCTTAATGTTTGGGAGATTGACGAATATGAATTGCTGCTATGTGTTTTGTCGTCAATTTTAGTCAATGAGGATCAAGACCAACCTCTTTGGACTCTTAGCCCTACGAGTCAATTTACTGTGGGATCTTTTACAATCATCTGACTAAAAGAGAGTCCGATGAAGAAAATTTTCCCTTTAGACGGATATGGAGATTAAATGCACTCCAAGAATTGCTTTTTCCCTTGGGAAGTAGCTTGGGGAAGCATTTTGCTATAGACAAGCTTTTTTTTTTTTTTTTTTTGAAAGAAGGCTATGGACAAGCTTATGAGACGTGGGAAGACTATAGTGAACTGGTGTTGTCTTTACAAGAGTGCGGCGAAAACTTGTGATCACATTCTTCTTTAGTGTCTTATTGCATACAGTCTATGGTCTATGGATTTTGGGATCCTGGGTTACAACTAGGCATTGGCGGGTACTGTCAATGATGAAATTCGGGCATGAAGGGTATTGCAAGTCAAAAGAAGTTTCCGGGGC